TTTAGTTGTTCCACTACCTTTTAAAATGTCCTAAAAAGCTAATTAAGTATGTTGTATCATTGAAGTGAGTCAATGCGAGGTGTAATATTGTCATATGTTTACATTAAGCTTGGCTGTAATAGAAAGAAAACAGAGGTAGCAAAATCATGATAATGCATCAAGATTTTAATACGTTTTTTTCCAGGCAAGTTGTAGTTAATTGATCATGTCAGCTTGTATCAATGATGTTATTTATTAGTTTTGGTGGTATGGGCTTCCAAAACAATTAAAACTTTTACCAGTCTGTGACAGCACTGCCATCTGACATGCTGCTGAAGATGCACCTGTTTTCACAACAGCTGGATGCTCCTGTGGTCTTTTGGTTTTTTGCTTTGGCCAGACAGGTTTTCTCTGATTCCAAAAAAGTTGAAAAAGTTAAAAAACAAACCACTGGATGTTTCTTTCTACTTTTGAAGACATTTCGCTTCCCATCCAGGAAGCTTTCTCAATTCAAAATTTCATTGTCAAAATGTCAAATGACATTTTAAATTGAGATTTTTTTTTTTTTTTACTTTTTTTTACTTTTGTGGAATGACTATAATCTGGATGACTGATAATCATTACCAGTTTTCTCTGATTGGCAAAGACAGGACAGGTTATATCGCTGATTAACAAATCCAAAACTTACCCCCTGCCTTCTTGCATTTCTGTGCTGATTTCAGACCCGGGCCCTGACTAAGACTGTCTTTACTGTTACCAGCCTGTTAAGGCCTGCTATTAGCCTGCCCAGTCAGTTGCTAGTCTGTTCAGTTATCATCCACCTTCTCAAGCCTGGTATCAGCCTGTTCAGCCTGTCACCCCCTTGTTCATCCATTATCTGCCTTTTCAATCCTGCTACCAGTATGTTCAGCCATCTTCCACCTTTGCAGTCTGCTACCAGCCTGGTTAATTTGCCACATGCATCCAAAAAATAATTTTATCAAAAAAAACATGTCTTGATGAATATCAGGTTCTCTGAAGACTCTGCTTCTCAAAATCGGTCTTTTGTTAAACCAATTTCTACCACTCCCCCTTTGCACTTACCCTGAGCCCTCCCAATGAGGTATGTCCCCCACTTTGGGAAAAAAATACATTGGGTGATAATATTGCTACCCTTTAGGTTTCATTAATATATATGTTTAATGCTACCTGCATGCTGTTTCTTCTTGTGAGCTACCATGGCAACCATTAACCACTGCTGTAGGTATTAACATTCTGATGTAATAATTAGCTCACTATGCATGAATGGAGTAAAAATTGTCCAATGTCACATTAAGTCTGAAAAATGCCAGGGTTTTACTTAGAAACACAACATGTTTGAAGCTTGGCAAGGCGTGAAGGCAACAAACTAGACAAGAATATATGAAGGTTCCACTAGCTCAATGGAAAGCTGTGTTTCTGAGTTTTCCAGCAGACTGGGATGTTTTCCCTGGTGTCAAAACCTTTATGCACATGGCCATCGCAAAACAGCAAAAACCAAGAAACAAGTAGAGTTGTTTCTAAAGAAAAAAAAAAGAAAAAAGAAAAAAGCTTAAAAATGTAAGTGCAAATCAAATCCTCTCCTCAGTGTGAGGTCATCTATGAGCTTTAAACTAAAAAGAAAACACTGGACAGATTGGGGAATTTTCAGACCTGCAGTGCCCATGGCTTTACAAAGCAGCTCATTAAAGCAAGAAAAACACAGGCACTGAATAAATATGGGCCAAAACATTCACAGTATGTTTTAATGAGCAGACATTTTCTGATTTTCTTGTAATCTACTAAGTGAATTTCCCAGCTCTGCTGTGCTAACATAGTAAATGTCAGCTTGGTATTGGCACTTAATCTGTTGAGTAGAAGATAACAGAACAGATTGTAATCCCAGATAAATTGACATAGACAGAAAACACATGTGAATAAACAAACACACCCACACACACACATAGACATATCCCAAATGAATTTATGCCAATATGTGATTAGAACTGGATCTTTTTAAGCAATCTGGAGTAAGCAGCAGCAGGCTGGCAAATAATTTTAGCTCTGCATAATGCTTGCTCATTTTGTCAAAGCTGTTTTAGTTTATTTATTTAGGGTGGGGTGGGGTGGGGGGCGGGAGCACTACCTGTGCGATCTGTAAATAGTTTTCCATGCTTGCAACAAAACTAGTAGCAGTAGTGGAGTTTGGAGATGCAATCCACTTCTTAAATCTATCTTTGTGCTCCTTTAATCTATCCAGAAGTACTGCAATCGCACTTTTTCTCTCACTCCCAACTTGTCGGTCAGCTGCACATTTAGCATGCCTTCCCTGGAAATGCCTTTCCAAATGACTCTTTTTATTATTTGACAACACATTACAAAGTAAAAATGCAGGCAATCCTTACCTGGCATTGGTAATGAAAGCAAATGATTCGGTCCATTTTTCTTTGAATCCTCTGTTTTCACCCGCTATCTTCCTTTTTATTCCTTTTGGGATCCGTGGCCCAAAGCACACCCACAGCTTGGTTTACAACCCCCACCTGCCTGGCACCGTGCCGCGCTGAAATGTGTGTTGCAGGCCAAGAAAAAAAACTTCATTGACAGAAATATTTACATGTATTGTTTAAATATATTCATTATACACATTTTTACAGCATTGAAAAACACAATGAATGTTTGTTTAACCTCCTGCACACCATATTAGAACAAACAAACAAAATCCATCTTTTTCAATTTTTGCAATGAAAAAGTCGCTAGGGGGGCATTAAAAAGCGGCATGCGACTCTGTAGCCCGCAGCTTGCCGACCCATGGTGAAGAGTATTTCTTTTCTATGATTCCCAAACTATAGGCTAAGCCTTTAAAAAAAGCAGTATTGTGCCAGGAATTTGTGGTAGAATTTAGGGGAACTTTGGCAGTAGTGACTTAATTATTAAGTCCTATGCTACATTACGTAGATTTTTTTATTTGCAGCAATAAAGATTAACACAACTTTTCTCTCTCTATATATATATATATATATGATTTTATTGCCATTACAGGAAAGTCAGACCCATCTTCTTGATGTAAATGAGCTTAAGCTGCAGAGTTTATTTTGTTTATTTCCAGTTATTTTGCAGTAAAAAGGACATTTTCAAGAAATGGAAACAACTTTAACAGCATACATTGACTCTTTTTTAAGTGTGGAATTTTTGTCTTAGTATCTTGCAAGAAAAGACCCAAAAAAACACATACCAAAATCCTTCAGACTTGATGCCACAGTGTAGATTCAGGGGACCATAAACAATGACAATGGTTGTGTCTGATTGTCCTTCCCTTTTATAAGAATCACAAGAGACAGACATAGCAACAATACTTAGCTAGGCTGTGTTAGGTGCCAACAAAATTTCTGTCACAGCATTACACCAACAGCAGCCCGAATTGTGTTTAAAAGGTACGGTGGATCCACTCTCCTGTGGTTTACTCCAAAGAGTTTTCTGAAAACCACAAATCAGACCAATAAACATTTTCCCACCTAATATTATCCATTTTGGATCTGAAACAGTATATGCTGACCGGAGTGGAAGCATACCTGCTTCAAGTTAATTGTAATGGTAATGAGTTTGCAATGTCTTTGTAATTATTTGTTTTATTTGTAATGAGTGGTTATTTGAGCTAATGCTTTTATGTATTATTTCAAACCTGTCTACCACATTGTTTACATAATTTTGGGAAATCACTGTCATTACTGGATAGGTCTTTTTTCAATTTTGTTAAAGCCAAAGAAAGAAAGTTTTACATTAAATCCTTGAACACACATGCACAACAATCGAGTGTCCAAATTAATCTCCTTATTTTATGAATGGTAAGGGGAACCAGGTTGGTGACTTCCGAATTCTGCATGCTTCAAAACAGCGATTCCCTAGCTTGGACTATGACTTATCTCAGGAAAACTTCCAGTGTGAGACACAAACTGAAACATGCAACTTAATTTTTAGTTTTGCTTTGTATTAACTTTTTGGAAACAATTATATTTTGCAGTTATTACTTGCCTATAGCAAGATTTCATATGATTAGGTTGTTGGAAAGGTAAGTACATCATCAAAGTAACAGAAGCTACCAAGCTAAAAACCAAGCCAGGGCTACTCTATCAAACTGCCTCATACACATGTGTAAGTTTCTAGAATCACTTTCTTTCAGTTGTTAGACCTGGACCGCAAAGGAACAAAACTAATCACTTCACTTCATTACAACAAATTGTGGATATTGTACAGCTAAAACAAAATCTCCAAAACATAGACTGTCAATATTTGAAAGAAGATGTAATTTACCCTACAGATAAACATAGTTTTACTTTGCTGATAAATGCTCAAGGCAGCTGCACATCTGAATAACTTATTGGATATCCTTTAATGTAGACTTAGATATTCAGATAAACGTATGTCATATTTTCTACCTCAAGCAAGGACACTGATTCTAAGATGAAATTCTCAGTAGCTGATCTTGAAAAAACCCTGTCTAAAGCCCTTTAATTAACACCTGACTATGCTATATGAAACCCTTTGGCATAATTGATTGTTCTTCACATCACAGTTATCACTGCACCAAATTCTAACCCCAGTCACTAAGAAATCAGCAACTGATTTATTACTGGTACAATTAGGCATTAGTGTCTAATATATTAGCAGGTGAGTAACTGCATGATTGGAATTATTATATGAATGCATTATATGAGCAATAGCTTTGAACCTGAAAAGAAGCTCTGAATATCTTAGTATTGCATTTTTTATTTTATTTTTTTTTTTTCTTAAAGGATATGCGTTTCTTTGCATGGGAATTTGGATAGAGATCCATAATTTAAATATTTAAATCAGTAAATTAAATTAATAATAGACCTCTGGTGGCCTAAATATGTTAACCTAAATACACAGACAGAGACAACTTGTTACTAATAAGCCTAGACCAACACCGCATTTAGCATTCTTAGCGCCGCATCCCGCAGTCCCGATGACACGCACCAACACTTTCATGTCAGCTCGCGCGCTCAGGCTCCACAGCAGGAGCAGCAACAACAGCTTTGTCCCGCACAAAACGATCAAACGGCGTTCAGTACGGGACAGATCCCGCAGCCTCTCACTGCAGCATGGCAACAGAGGTAAGGAATTTCCCGATTCTAGTTAGTAAGAACTCTTTTCTTTCCTCTTCCTATTTTTATCCTGCCAAGTGCAGGTGGGGAATGCGGTACTGTAAACTGGATGTGATGCATTTCTTTTCTTCCTATATGGTTAACAACTGATTGAATATTACTGATACTGCAACGAAGTGCAGGGAGGGTTGCTTTTATGTACTTGTACTCCTATTATGTTACAAATTACATGGAAATTTCTATTTCTTTTGGTTATTGCAACTGAGACCAATTTTATTATTCTAAATACTTAGTCTACCTTAAAGTAAGAACAAAGATTTGTTCAACAATCATAGAGACTGTTGATTCACGTGATAGCTATGCAATTTATGATGAAGAGTATTAATGATTATATTCAGCACCTTGGACAGTCACAGCCTCTTGGCTTCAACTGCATCATACTTAACTCCTCTTAAAAAGCTTCATATTCCCTTGACCTTATCCTTTGACACAGTTCTGAGGCTCCTAAAACTGATTACCTCTGTTAACCATCTCATATTCATGTCCTGCTTTTATTCATTTCAGATTTATATGACTTGCAAATCTAAAGATCTGCACTGATGTCCTTCTTTCTATTTTGTCTGATTGCACAACTAGTTGCCTTAAAAACGAGGTGCTGGTTTATTTTTAGACCTAGTAATGCCTGGTAGCTGTGGGGCCACATGTCCCTTCCTTCTATTTGCCCTTGGCCAAAGACATTGCCTGATGAGGTGTCATAGTGAAGAACTCAAGATTATGCTGCCTTCACTTTGTGGTGACAGCAAAGCCATGCATCGATTTTCTTTTCTTAAATGTATTTCATAGATAAACCATAGTGTTCTATGCCAACCCCCTCCATATACTAAGAAAATCATACCTGTATACTAACATAGATGAATATCAGTTAATTATCCTATTATTAGTGAATCTTTTCAATGTTATTTAGCTGATGCAGTTAAAAAACAAACAGTAAAAATCTATGAGAATAGTGTTGCTTCTTGTACATGCTATTATTCCTTTTGTCATGTTTATTGCATGTTAAATAATGAAATCAGGGCTTGTACATACTGTTTGCATGGGTCATCAATCATCTCAATTTCTTTCACATCTTAGTAAATATTGAGCTGTCAAGAGGCCACCTGACAAAAGAGCACTGAACAAGGAAGACATGTGAGAGATTTAAATGAGATGTCTGCTGTCTTTTCTTAGTGTAATGTGTGTGTAGGTGTGTGTGGGGGGGCGTCTGTGTGTGTGCCCATCGGTAATATTCACCTATGTGGAAGCTGTGTATTTATTGAATCAGAATTACTTAACTTGGCACCATGTCATGCACAGCAAAGAAAAAAAAAACTAGAACTCAGGCCAAACTTCAAATCGTACAACATTTTAACAAAAAGGGGAATTGAAAGGCATATTCCTCCATGCAACTTCACACTCCTGATTTTGTTTTGTGTCTTTTATGATATAACTATAGTGTACCTGTCTGCTAAGTGCAATGTAATTACAAATTATTTGCCTCTTAACAGTTTTGTTGTTAGAGACTCTGATCCAAAAACAATGACTTCTGTCTTGTCTTAATTCAAAAGCTGAAATTTGGAATACATGTAAAGTACATTACTGCACATTCTTCCATATCACACTAAGAGCCTGTGCATAGCTAATGAAGTTGACATCAGGCCAACTGATTCTGATTTGAGTAAACAAAGCTCTGCCGTGTCTTGATGATTACATCTAAATAGGATGAAAGATGTATCCTAGTAAGCCCAATATAGATACTGAGCTAAAAATGCAGAGAAAGCAAAGACAGAGATATTAAAAGCTCTATCTGTGAGATAATGCTGGCTGGTAGCAGATGAAAATAGAAGCTTAGGTTCTATTCCTGGCTATGATTGATGTGGGCCTTTTAGCACAAAGATGAAAGGCGCACTCTGTACCGTGTCTGTTTACATGGGCTCACTACCTTCCAATTATAACAAGACTCCTGTGGCCAGCAAAACTCTGCAAAAGAACCACTGATCAAGAGTTAGCTTGTTAATTTTGGTATATTGTTGGGGCATTCCTTGAGAATATAAATACCCTGAAGAAGCTTAAGGGTCTGACTACAGCCTCATGTGCCTTGCTGAATATTCCTACACTTCCTTTGTTGTTTCTCTCTGTCTTCTCTCTGCTTCTTGTTGTATGCTTTTTCTGTATCACTAATTGCCCTTCCTTTGGGACAAGTAATTTAGATCAGCATGAGAAATGTTTGCTGTAGCTGTTTTGATGCAAAAAGGGGTCTTTCAGTGTGCCAAAATTGAAACTGGGTCTGGTGTAGCTCAAGTAAAACCACCAGACCACTACTGCAAGCCTACACTGCACTTGAAACAAGAAGTCCTTAAATCTGTCAGCAAAATCAGGTAAAAAAAGCAACCAAAATATTTTTTTCTATTAAAAATTGCTTCCAGCTTCCAGCCAGCTTCCTATTAATAACTTCCTCCCTTTTCAAATGGGATACGTTGTCTAAAGCAACAACCCTGTTAACAAGGTTGTCAATTTGTGAAGGAGAATAAATTAAATGGCTGCCATTTTCATTATCATTCAGAGATACAGCTAAACTCATGATTTCGGCACTAGTGCTGGTCTGATTCACAAACCTGCGCAACTAAGCCCTTTTCTCATCAGCCTTTATCAGATCCACCTGTACCACTGTCTATATAAACACCTCTCAGACCAGTCACCAGTGTCAGATTATTACAAGCCACCAGTGAGTCTAATCTAGCATTCCTGAAAGCTTGATTGTCTGCCTCTGTGTTTCTGACCATTTTACTGCCCTCTGATTCTCTGAGTCTGCCTAACCCCTGTCCAACCTGTATAGGTGTGCTGTTTGGTAGTGATGGCAAAATTAGGCTTTCTGAAATATTGCATAATTTTGAACCATTGTTTCATAAAATTGTTCACTACCCGAAGCTTCATTCAAATACCCTTGGGTGGCATCTACTGGTACTAGCTGTTGTCACATCAAATGAAATCCTGAGAATATGACACATGTCCCCTGTATATAATAACACTTTATGTTTGTGTTGTATATGTGTTTTAGTACCTCAAGAGGTTCTAAATAATTTGCCCATGAGACAATAATTCATAAAAAAGTGAACATTTTTTGGTTTGTCATTCATTTTTTGTGTGCTTGTGGTGCTGACTGTTTTTCTGTTTTTTGAGACAATTTCTCCAGAGTAAAAAAAATATATATATATATAGATATTTCATAGCAAACAGAGGAAGCTGCTGTAATCAGGTACTGTTTAGCTGGGTGGTATAGATTTGGATAGAGAGTTTTGTGCTCCACCCAATATTTCATCAGATCCTCTGCTCAGTCCAGAGAAGGAGCCGATAATTATTACGTTGTTCATCTTACCTGTTATGTATATCTTGCATAAAATGGTATCATGAATATTATACTAGTGGATAGTATAGCCTTTAGGCTTTCTATTAATAAACACTGAATGTAAATTACCTTACTTGCTTAAAATTCAAATATTTCCAAATATTGGAACGCTCCCTTGATGTTTGCTCCATGAACTCTGAATATTAAAAAAGAGCTGATTGTAACGTATAATCCGTGTAGAACGGGGGCATGAACTGGTCCTTGAGGATCCGAAATACACTGAGTCGCACCAAATGCCTCTCACCTCGAAGCAGTCACCTGAATTGGTCTGAATGAAGCAGTAAAGGTGTTTACTGTAAAGATGCAAGCTCCAGCCCACTGCTTCACCCTAACTACCCTGTCGAGTTTTAAGCGTGCATTCAAAGCGCGGTGTTGAAGGCAAAATCGCCACTGATTAGATCTTTTACCCATTTCTGTGCCCTGATTCAGCCCTGGATTCTGCTCTAGATTTCTGATCACCTGGTTCTGACCCTGGATCTGTTCTTGGACCCGGACTCTCGTTATTCATCCTAATCCTGCCTATCTCTGTCATCCTGGTTCTGAACCAATGCCTGTCCTTTGACTGTCTATTACCTGCCAGCCCCATAAGAAAAATCTTCCAAACTGCTCTGACGTTGTGCATTTAAGATATCCCCTTCAGTGTTGTCATGAATGTTGAAATCCCAACCTATAATGATCTTGTCAGTGTTTAACATATTCATAAATGAGTTGAGGTACATGCGTACAATCCCCCTAATATTTTGATGAATGCTAGTGACAAATCTACCATTTTCTTTTCTTTTGTTTTTGTTATTCTGGCTTCTATATTCCTATTAACCATCTTATCAATCCAAAACATACAAAACAACAGTTTGGATGTATTTTTCGCAAAATTCTATCCTTTGTCATTAGTGCTAATTTCAGGTAGAGTGGAAGAATTTTGAATGTTCATCTTAAGGAATGTTATATTTATGTTATGGACCAGTAGCTCTGGCTGCATATGCTTGTACCAATGTACTTTAGGCAGCTTGTCTTTGAGTATGGACTTTTTTCTTGTTTAGTACCCACCTTGTGGAAGTGTTGCTGTTGCATTATCTTTTGTTTAATTAGTGGTTTAACCTTCAGTGCTTCCTGGGTAATTCCTATACATTTAAACAAAGTTCATTTTATTGAAATTTAACAGATTGGGTCAATTAGTATAAACTTGGACACAAGTGATTATTTCCAGCAGGAGTATAATCCTAAACAGATCAAAAATAGTTTGCAAACAAACACATTAAGGGATAATGAATTAATTAATATCCATAAGGTTTTATCTAAAACTTACTGAAATTAAATGCATTTCAAACTGTAAATCTGTATCTCTGTTCTACACCACTATTCTGTCTTTTCTCAGTTGCATAACCTCAAGGACATACAGCACACTGCATCGCTGGTTACAAAGGTCTTTATACAACGAGACTACAGTGAAGGAACTGTGTGCCGATTCCAGACCAAATTCCCCACAGAGCTTAACAACAAGGTGAGAACACCTGCAAACCTTTGTAAAACAACTCAAGTGTGTTGCAACTTAAAACTGAATCCTTCACTGTAATGAAGCAAATGTACCTGTTGAATCAGTCTCTATTTATGTCTGACTTTGAAATAAAAGCTAAAAATTTCAACATGCCCTTTAAATGAATGAAACATGCAAATTAACTGACATCATTTCATACAACCTTTCTGGCATTATGTGGATAAAAAAACTTTATACCTTCTCTGGAAGATCAGATAGCAATTCTTTAACTTTCTGCAGGTTTCTTGAATAAAAGTATTTGCTCTAAGTCCTCATTCTTTAAATAGGTCATGATTTATATTCCAGCACTCAATCAAAAGCCAACAAATGTGAAGATAATTTCATCTAACACCCTTGTTTATAAACTGAGTTCCACTCAAATGTTATTTTATTTTTACTTTTACTGGTACTAAAGAAATAACTACGTTTTGGATTGAGTAGACTTTGGATTTCCTAAGGACAGTGCTGTTTCCCAAAATACAAAAGAAATCTTATAGAGTCATATTTAAGTAGAGTTTCGTAAAATTTTCACAGGTACATAGAGTTTACATTGTGTGATAATGGCTGTCAAAACTTAGTCATATTGGTTTGCAAAAAATCAGCAGATATGTTTGACATATTGCTTCATAGATGCACAACTTGTTGCAACAGCTAAATTAACTTTTTTTTCCTAGGGCTATAACCTTGCCTATGCTTTTTTGTGTTTTTAATTAGATAGAGAGAGCTCTGCTTGAGCAGACAGTGAAGACACTTAACTTGTATTACATGGAGGCTGAAAAAGTTGGAGGTCAGTCATACCTGGAAGGATGTCTAGCTTGTGCAACAGCATACATTGTATTCTTCTGCATGGAAACACGCTATGAGAAGGTAAGTTTACACTGTTAAAATATCAACATTTGACAAACAGAGACATTCTTTTTAAAAGTCATATAAAAACTCTTCTATCTTGTCTGCACAGTGTGTGCAACATATCAACAGATTTTAAAAATTGCTTGTAGATGAAGTGACTGACATTAAGGTTAATACAATTGCAAGACCTGATATGTTTTATATCTAGAACATTAACCGAACTCGGAGCTATTGTGATTACGCCCTAAGAAGCAATTTACAACACATTATCTGTTTCGATCTTTCAATCAATATCTATTGACATATACAAATCGAATCAAAGAATGGTCACCAGTTATTTGATTTAATATTTAAAACCCAAGTGTTGTGGGGTCATATTTTTGAAATTTTGATCTGCATGTTCATCTCCTGAATGTTATACCAGAGCAGTTTTTAAAACACACTCCAGTAAGAAACTGCCTGAATCCAGGAGATAGGATCTCATTTTTATAGCCATCCACTACCTTTAGCATGTTTTTCTGAAGGCCAAACCTGACTGCCGCTGTGAAAAAGTGTGGCACGCCATCTGTAAAATACTTTTATTCAGCACAGGCAAGATGTCCATCTTGAGAAAGGACAGATGGTTCAACCTGTTCATGGCTGTATTGCTTTTTGCTTCTTGCTGAGATGGAACAAGAACACACAAGCATGCCTAATGCAATCATGCACACAGTCACAGTGAGCTTGATTAATCCTCTTTGTGATTTTTTCTGTCAACCTGCCAATGCTTCAGAAGAGATTGGAGTGCCATGAAGTTCCAGCACGTCTCTCTGCTCTGATCTCTGTCTCAGAAACCATTCATCTGCCTCATCTTGTTGCATTTTGTAAACATTGCTTTATCAAAGCTGCACAGGGTTACTGGGAAATTGACCAAGGTACAAAAAAGCATGTTTATTGCTGTGTTGAAGTTATGCTTAAATGGCCTGGCCTGCATCACCTTTCATCTCACTGTCGGGTGGCACTGCTCCATTGAGAGGCTCAGATGCTATCAGCTCCACAGGAGAGTTGTTTATTTACTTGTTTAAACTTTATGAATGCCCCTTTGACTGACAAAGATAGAACATACCCACCCAAGTTGAAGCTAAGTGTGCATATTCCTATGTGGCACATAATCATGGTTCTCCAATTCTCTTTAACGTTTACATTCCACCATCAAAAGGCACTGATTGTTACCCACATGTCAGAGCAAGCTTCAGGAAGTCTCCCACACAGACTTTGCTTTGTACAGTACATCTGTTGTTTTGTTTTTCCTCTTTGCTGACAAGAACATAGGTCAGACTATAGCAGTGGATACAAGTTTAAGTTAAAACTTTGTACATAAAATACAATCACATTTTACAAGCCATAGAATAGAGGACTGCTTGTGTTTATTCTGGGTTTAGTCAGAAAAGCTGACACAAAAATACCATCATATCAGTGCAACAGTTAGAATTAATACTTGGATGCCATACATTGAAAGTGAGTTTAGCAGCCCCTAGTTAAAGCTAAAGGCTCCAATATGTTTGTAGTAATATTTTGATTTTACAGGCATGTTTCTTCTGCCCAGAGGTAATGTTTAGATTTGGAGTATTTAACCAAAGTACTGGCTTGAATCTTACAGAGATTCTGTAGATTCTTAGAGCTTATCTTCAAAGATATGTTAATACCAGTGGAAACATGCAAATAGAAGGTCAGTTGTCATAATAAGCATATATTAGTGTAATTACAACAAAATACAATAATTGTTCTATTACAGACGTATAGTTATTAAATATTAATATTTATTTGTTTTCATTTAATGTTTTTAGTTGTTTTGTTATTACTTGATAAATACCAGCTCAATTTTCCTTTTGATTAAATGAAAAAAATAAAATACAATACAAAACCTTTAGGATAGAAACAATTTTAGGCAAAACAGTAGGGTTATCAGCTGGGCATGCAGCTGCAAAAGAGGAGCTCTGTCCAGGATAACCCTACCTGTACTGTCCAGGATAACTTTGATAATATTCCATTTCTAATATATTTACAACAGGTAGGATCAAAGATAGCTCCGTTTACTGGAGGAACAGCTCCTTTTTTGCAATTGGCAAAGCAGAGATGCAACAGTGTAATGGTGGTATGTGTCTTAGGACAAGCTACTAATTTTCAAAATGATTTTTTTTTTCAATATTATTGAAATAATATCAGTAACTTAATTGACTAAGTCAAATCATATAGATTAATAAAAGATACAAATTTTTAAGGATTTTCTGCTTAAAGTTGATAACAACATAACATTTAAAATAAGAATTTTACAGTAAAGAAAAAATTGCATCTTATCTAGTAATGATTCATATAAAGTTTGGTGGAAGGTTATTCCAGTATCTAACCAACAAAATGTGTTAGTTGTTTTTATTCTAGATTTCCATTTTTTTAACTATGGGAAATGGCACGCAGTGCCTCAAACACCTTGAGAGATAATGCCCTACAATGGCAGCACTTCCCCTTATTTAAGCAATTTAGATAAAATGCAAATACAGCCATGCTTCTCAAAATCAATTGAATGGTGAAGGATGGTGAGAGAATAAAATTCTGTGCACTCTTGAACAAGGAGGAGTGAATGTCTATAGCAAGGGGTGCATATTCAGAAAGGAAATGCCATTATTAATTGACTGTAGATGCAAATAATCAGTATATTATGTTTATTTCTGTCTTTTGTTTATGATTTGTCCTTTTAATGTCTCCCTGGACAGTTCTCTATGTTACCTATATCAAAAGCCAGCACTGATCTCAGTTCAAAACCCAGTATAGTGTTGGATTTGTTTTATGGAGCATAGAATATACACATTTTAGGAGTTACTATCTTTGTTAGGCTTTGTTTGGTGTATGTGAGTAGCTTTTCTTATCATGCCGTTTTAGTTTATGACTGTTAATGTTGCTCTACTGTTTAGGACATTGGAGTAAAAAAAAAAACAGACTCCAAAGGTTATTCTCAAATGAGTTGTAATGTCCTTAATATACGCACAGACTTGCTAGTTTATATTTGTATGTTGAGGCCTGTTCTAGAGTGCCCTGATTTCCCCCAATGCTGCCCTGTGGTTGTTCTACCGTTAAAGCAAAAGTAAAGGATAGGTTATTTGCTAATTCAGCTTGAAGAAAACTAGCAAATTTACATTTCAGAGAGTTCGCCTCAATCCTTTTGTTCCATTGAGAATTTTTGGTTTAGAATGGAAATGTTCCAAAAGTGAATCACTCCTCTGTCTTAGTCATTGAATTCTTAGTTTTGCTTAAAATAAGTAGTGAGGATGTATGTTTAAAAAGTGAATACTGATGCGCTTTGACCATAACAGTGCTATTTTTTTTATAATTCTTATGATTAAACACCCGATGATAAGTATCTTATAATATTTGCTTAAAAGATGCATAAAGAGACTTGAAACTAATTTCATATTTTCCTATTGACCCACTATAGGGATATATAAAATAGCTAAATCCAATTTGATGTTTAATTTGTCTACAATACCAAAATATGTCACAAATAGTTCCCTTTAAAAAGAAATGTGTAGGTATATGTTAGTATGCCTGTTTATGTCATCTTCTGTGAAACTCTGCATTTAGCTTTGCTTTCAATTTATCACTGATGTTTTTAATGAAATCTGGATTAAAACCAGATGTAATCAAGCCCTCCTCTGCAACTACTTTACCCATATTTTATTTCAGGTCTTGAAGAAGATATCAGGCTACATCCAGGAGCAGAATGAGAAGATCTACGCCCCAAGAGGTCTGCTGCTCACAGACCCCATAGAGAGAGGAATGAGGGTTGTATCCTTCACTCAGCAGCTGCTATGCTTTCTGCTTTATCTAGACATTAGATTGACAATTGAAAATACTGACTATAAGCAATCTAGTTATTAGAGTATATCACATCTGAAAAATAGAGTTTGTACAGTGCATTTGAATAATACATTTTAAATACTAATCCTGCATGGTACCGGCTCAACATTTTCTTATATTCAGTGATATTTTGAAGTAGTCTATTTACTGTCTGCTGTTTTTGGGAAAGGAAGCCAGCTCCATGACAAAGGTTGGACTTTCTTATACTCTGGAGTGGTCTGTTGGGAGATGGGCTGGAAGAGAGGGCTGCACGCCTTCAGCTTAAGGCCGGGGAGACATCACTGACTTTTGTTTCTTCCTATCGGCTGAACAGTGGTATTGTGTATAAACTTTTTGGGTTTTTGTAAAAAAAAGACCCTTCATCGTTTACCATACTTCAGCATTAATTATTTCAGTAGCTGTTAGGTTATTTGGGGGATTTTTCTTTTAGCTCTGTTGACCTCTAATTTAATCTAATTTAGCAGAGAGGCAGAAAACTGTTCGAGAAAGAAAAGGGGATACACAACCATAGAGAACTTTTAGTTTTTCTTTCGCTTCTTAATTAGAATAAGTTCATTATAAGCATACATACCACACATTTTTCCTGTCTGACTGTCGTTAGTCAAATTTGTGTACTGTCGTTAGGATGCAGATGGCTTTATTATGACAATTGTAAGATATTACAGAGTAATATTAGAAACTAATCGTTTTTTTTTTTCATATCTTGCATGCTTTTTGTTATCTTTATTATTCTTGACAGTCATTGCGTCATCAGCTAGAGATTAGCATTTTTGAAGATCAAGGCTCAAGTGGCTCCAGTCCTAGCAGCGGCATGTCATCATGTAGCACTGCTCGATGACTGGAGGGGCAGCACCAGGCTTACGGGTACCAACACAGGGGCAGCGAGACACTCACTAGCATCCGCATGCTGAAACATGAGAGCACCAGATTCTAAAGAAAAGCATCAAGACAGAAAGCCATGGAGGTAATCCAGAACTACAGACCTCTTCCTGCTTAGAGCTTCAACTAACTACCCTGAAAGAAGGTTCTGGATCTACAAAAGCTGTAGCTACTAAACAGGATTAAAGGTCATAGCTACAACTTTTTCATCTAAATTATTTTTTTTTTTATAATTATTCCTCATAAAATCTGGAGTGGTGCAGAGTAAAGGTATTAATTCCATTGAAAAACTTATATATGGTCTATAAATAACTGTTTTATAAATGTTGCTTGGTCCAACATTGATAAATATTTACTTCTGCTTCTGATGGCAAAGTCGACATTAAAGGATTCTGTACCAATCAAATTAGTAGGTGGAAGTCATGTGAGACAGTGCTCAGACATTGCCAGATTCTTATAGCCCCGTAATATAGCTGGGAAATAACTTCTTTCCGACCAGCAGGTGTTAAAATTGTAGCTATTACCTTTCAAATATGTCAACAGATTTCACATATCATCTTATGAGAAAATGCAGCATCCAGTGTCTCTTAAACTCTTAAAAAGTTATCCAAGGTAATCCTTGTTAACCCATTTCATCCTGTCTTTTACAATAAGTCACATATTGTACATTTTAGTGTATCCTGCAAGTTCATCTTTGATCAGAACTGTCGTCAGTGTGTGAATAGCATCATTTTACTGTCATTGCTATTATACTGTATGCTCATTCACAGTCTGGGTATTCACAAGTCTTTGTAACAACTCCGCCACTATGAGCAGAACTTACTGCTTCCCAGCAGACATATTGTTCTTGTTTCTTACACTTGTTTCAAGTAGTTGAGGTCAAGTTGTATTGAATGTGGGCAAATTAAGGCATGGGGTATTAGGTAGAGGTATTTGGCATAAATATCTAGCTGGGACCAGTTTGATTCATTTATCTTTTTTACTCTCAAGAGTGGATCAAGTGATCTGCATAACAGCTGCAGGTCACGCCTTGGCACACACATGCAGACATATTCAGATAATATACCCAACCACTGCATATGAGGGCAATAAATGGGACATGTGCACATCAGGTATATGCATAGACACTCATGTGTATGTAACATGTACTTATGTACTCATTTTATAAAGCCAGAAAATATTCAATATGGTTTTAGCTTACTGTGAACCTCAGACTCTATTATAGTTTTGATGTCTGGCAGTGTTTATGATTTTGACATCAGTTGCAGTCTAGTTTGAGATGAAAGCTGGTAGCTCTTAACACTGTCAAAACCTTTTCCCTAAACAGACTTGGTGGCTTCTTAAGCTGAAAGAGTGTGGGTTGTTATCAGTGGAGCTGGAGACTGTACAGTCATTAAGCAGAGAAATGTGTTCCAGTTTGAGTGTAGGAGCTTGCAGGAGAACCGGCCCACAGAGATTTCAAGAAATTAACCTCTTTTAGCCTGTTTTTCCTTGCTGTTGTGTAGATACAGGTTGAATTAGAAATTCAAACACAAAAAAGGCAAAAGATAATCTACAAATGTACCGAAACCAACTTGGACACTATTCTGTAAAGACATGAATGACAGCTATGTATAATTTCAATAAGGGTGTTCCAAAAAAAGATAATTGAAAACAATCCACTGGACTTTGTTTCGATATTTGAAGATATTTTGCTTGCAAGGAATAGTGTTGAGTTCGAGGTTATATACAATATCCAATCAAAACCTTGTTTTTGTTTTGAAAACATGCAAATGCCTGCAATGCCCCATACCCGTCTAAGTGTCTGAAAGGAGTGTTGTTAAAGGGAATTGTTGGCCTGGCTGAAAAGGTGAGTTCCAATGCTCTCCTGTACAAGGGCTGGGACTGCGATGATAGCGGGAAGGGATTAACCCAATTACTGCGTTGTAGGTTTTTGAAAGCTGAAACCTGAGACCACCCCCTCTGTTTAAGGTTTTTTTTTTTTTCTTAACATAGATGGCTTCCTTCATGCCCCTCTCAAACCACTAACTAATAAGGCTGATTATGGGTAAACAATAACACATTTAATGGGGGAACTTTTAATTATTGCACATATATCAAAGATATATAAATCAATATATAAAAAACACAATTCAAATTCTTTTAAATATTTAACATTTCAGCATCAGAGGGAGCATCATTGTTTGAAAGAAATTAAATAAAGTTATGTAGCTTTTAGTTGTTGTGTAAAGAACATGATTACTTTGGGATTAAGTTTATCATACCCTGGAAAATGGCTTTGTCTATTCTAAGAGTTTAAATCAAATCTCAAGTCTACAAAACCACATAAATATGATGCCAACATTATATATGTAGTTAAACAGTTCAGGATACTCAAGAACCTCAGATGTACATAATATAAAAATAAATGTAATTAAAGTATGGGTTTTATTTACTACTAATCTTAGCTGCAACAATGCTAACAGAAAAGCAATGGCTCACACTTTGCCTCTTAAAGGCACACTATGCAACATTTTTCAGTTAATTAATGTGTTCCATAACGTTATGGATGATTAAATGAGTCATTTCAGGTTGAACAAAGGTATTCTCGGCCGCCCTGGTGGTCTGTGGGGGAAATACCGCACTTGCAATTGCAGGAGCACCGAA